CTATGACACCAGACTTCAGATAGAGTTTGAGGGATCTAGGCAATTAAAGGCTTTTAATGTTAACTAGTAAATATAATAATAAAGCATATAATTAGCAAACATCTGAAAAAATATATGATCTACTGGGAAGAGGTAGCATAAGTTCTGATTAATAAAGCCCTGCCCTAGAAGTCTGCTGAAGTTCTTTGACAAATCTGTGAACGAAGGCAGTCTGGTTTACCTGGATTTCAAAAAGGCTTTTGGCTAAATTCATCACCTAAGGCTTCAAGGAAGCTGTGTATCCACATGTCCTGATGTAGAGAAATAACTGGCTAGAAGATAGGGAACAGTCAGTAAAAGCCACTGACCCATTCCAAACAAAGGAAGATCATCACTGAAGTTCAGCAGAGGCTCCAAGCTCTTCAACCTATTGAACAGTGAACTGAAAAAATGACAAAAGCTCAAAGTTTAGCGATGACATCAAGTTTTTCAGGAAAGTGAGGATAAGATCGGACTAAAAAAACTGCATGACTTTAGGAAACCAAATAGTTGTCCAATAAAATGGCAAATAAATTCCAGGTAGATAAAATGAAGCAAGTGAGGTAAAGATGGAAACTCAGTAACAGATTCAGCTGTACAGCAAGCTCTGAAGTAATTATTAGCACTTGGGAACAAAATGGTGAAGTTTTAATAGTTCCAGAAAAAATACCAACCAGTTAGGGGGAAAAAAAAAAAAAAGAAAAAAAAGAAAAAGGAAAGCAGTAAAAGGAAAGCAGTCATTAGAAATTATTACAAAAGCGAACCATAGAGCACTGGTTTTTGAAATCCATGACCTGCTCCTACTTCAAACAAATGCTGTGATGATGTGACTAGAACTCCACAAGAAAGTTATCTTAGAACTCAAAAAAGCTTGGGAAAAGGCAATAAGGATGATCAAAGTCACAGAAACACTACAATATTAAGAGTGACTAAGATGCAATTCTTCAGCCTCAAAACACAGATAAGTTAGAAAGTACCATGAGGATGACTGGATACAGAGTCAATAATCATGCACTAACTATGGGTCATTAGTAGGACAAGGGAAGGAATTCTTCCCCTCCTTCTGCCATTTGTGGGACCACATATGGAATACTTTGTCCAGTTTTGGGCAACTCAGTATAAGACACACACTGACACCCTGGAAGGAGTCCAAAGGGTCCCTGGAAGGTCAGAAGCATACAGCTTATGACATAGAAGGAAAGGCTGGGAGAGCTGGGTTCACTCACTCCGAAAGAGAGAAGGTTAACAGGGACCTACCTGCGAAGTACCTGAGGTGTAGTTATAGAACAGATGGGGACAGAGTCCTCCCCCTACGAGGTGCAGAACCAAATTAGAGGAAATGGGTGAAACAAGAAATTTTTAATAGATAATAAGAAAATATTCTTCACGATGAATGTGGTCAAACACTGAACACGTTGCCTAGAGTGCATTGTAGAATCTCCAGTCCTGAGATGCTGAGAACTAATCGGGGCATGACACGGAACAACACATCACAGCCAACTAGTAAGGGTGCTTTGGGCGTTTATATGGGGAAAAGGGTCAGACCAAATGCCTTAGAGTCTTCCAAACTAATTTACTTTGTTATCCTGTGATGAAATGAAGCAAATGGAAAACAAGCTTAAAAAAAAAAAAAAAAAA